CCCTCTCTGCCCTCTCTGACTGGCAGCTCTCCAGCCACCCCTCCCCAAGCCTGTAGTGCTGCTGGGGGTTGTTGTGGCCCAAGGGCAGCCCCCGGCATTTGCCCTTATGGAAACTCCTCCAGTTGGGCTCAGCCCATGGCTCCAGCCTGTCCAGGTCTCTCTGCAGAGCCTCCCTGCCCTCGAGCAGATCAACACTCCCACCCAACTTGGTGTCATCTGCAAACTGACTGAGGGTGCACTCGATCCCCTTGTCCAGATCATCAATAAAGATGTTAAACAGGAGTGGCCCCAACACCGAGCCCTGGGGGACACCACTCGTGACAGGCCACCAGCTGGATTTAACTCCGTTCACCACAACTCTTTGGGCCCGGCCATCCAGCCATTTTTTTACCCAGCAAAGCGTGTGCCCATCCAAGCCATAAGCAGCCAGTTTCACCAGGCGAATGCTGTGGGAAACAGTGTCAGAGGCCTTACTAAAGTCAAGGTAAACAATATCCACAGCCTTTCCCTCATCCAATAAGCAGGTCGCCCTGTCGTAGAAGGAGATCAGGTTTGTCAAGCAGGACCTGCCTTTCATAAACCCATGCTGACTGGGCCTGATCATCTGGTTGTCCCGCATGTCTTGTATGATGGTACCAGGATGAGCTGCTCCATCAGCTTCCTGGGCACCAAAATCAAGCTGACAGGCCTGTAATTTCCGGGATCATCCTTCCGACCCTTCTTATAGATGGGTGTCACATTGGCCAATTTCCAATCAGTCGGGACCTCCCTGGTCAGCCAGGACTGTTGGTAAATGATGGAAAGCGGCTTGGCAAGCACCCCAGGCAGGTCCTTCAGCACCCTCGGGTGTATCCCATCCGGTCCCACAGACTTGTGTATGTCTATGAGATGCAGCAGGTCACTGACTGTCTCCTCCTGGAATGAGGAGGGGTCGTTCTCCCAGTCTCTGTCTTCTGGCTGAGGAGGCTGGATTCCCTCAGTACAACTAGTCTTGCTGTTAAAGACTGAGGCAAAGAAGGCATTAAGCACCTCAGCCTTCTCCTCGTCACTTGTTACCAAATTTCCTCTTGCATCTAGCAGGGGATGGAAGCTGTCCTTGGTCTTTCGGTTGCTGCTCACATACTTATAGAAACATTTCTTGTTGTCCTTGATTGCTGAAGCCAGATTAATTTCTGCTGAGCATTAGACCTCTTGATTTTTGCCCTGCATAGCCTCACAGCACGCTGTGATTAGAATGCTCAGTTTAAGTTATGGTCCAGGCATAGTCAGCATTTTTCTCTTCTCACACTCTCACATTTCTGTCTGCACAGAGCTTACAAACTAAACATAACTGCATTTTCTACAAGACTCAAAAGAATATCAAAGCAGTGTATGCAGCAGCAACTGGCAGAGCAAGACCACCAGATTTCAAAATTTCCAAGTACTATTGTGTAGTGAGTTCCAAGTTTGGTCAGTTTTCCCCATTTTTATTGATATCATTTTCATCTAAACGATTACACAACTAAACTGCTTCCTAATTCACATAAAGATTTACCATCTCAGTAAAGAACGTATTTCAGCAACAAATTGTATTTAGGCCAAGGTGCTCAAATGCTGACTAGTTCACTATTTTCAGCCCAGAATACACATCATCTGGCACATAATTTTACTTTCTGCTTTCTAAAAAACTCCTGCAGCCTCTCCATGCCACGTGACTATAAGCACTTTTAACATCAGTGAAATACAGGTGTCACCAATGGTCAAAATGCACACAAGCATGTGATGGGAAATGTTTACTTTAGCCATGTGACAAATACACCTGTGTCTACGCTGAGAGGCACCAAAAGGCACAGCCATAATGGACTATGTGGGGATGCCCTGCCAAAAGAAGGGCATTATCACTGTCAGAAAAATTAAGCTTGCTTTAACAACAGATAAATTATAAAATCAGGTTGAAAGCTATTTCAAAGAGTTAAAGAGGTGGTTTAACTTTCAGACTAAAATTTTAGCAGTAGGTATTATTTAAATCCTAAATAAAGAACGGAAACAAATGATCCTGCCTTCAGGAAATAAAAACAGTTATGTGACCTCAATTTAAAGAAAAAAAAAAAAATCCAAAAAACCAATAACTGCATGCTTGCAGTATATGCTAAATAATCATTATTCACATGAAATTAAGAATTTTATATTCCCTGCCACTGATTAAATACTAAATTCAGATATTCAAAGTTAAAGTTCATTGTGGTGGGTTGACCTTGGCTGGATGCCATAATTAAATATTTAAAACTGAGAATTCTACCCTACCAGCATGAAAAGTATCTATACAGTTTGAAGAGCAATATAAACTAGCCCCATATAGTTTCTATTCTAAACTCATCAGATTATTTTCTTTCTTTACATGCAAGGTTTTTTCCAGCTATCACCTCAGTATCAGTGAAACTATACTAACTTAAAGGAGGACAATTAAATCGAAGCCTAAGGTCCAAATAAATCTAATACCATGCCATCAAGCCTTGTCGCTGCTACACTGCTTTGTGGTAAACCTGCAGATTTTTGGTTTTGTCGCTAACTGAATATTTTCAAGATAGGCAGTCCATAAGAATTCTATCATTGTAAAGGCATTACTTTAAGATGTGCTGTACTTGCAGTTGTCCTTTAATTCTGAAAAAGTGCCTGCTCAACCTAAAGCATTTGACCAGGCATTGCTCATAACTTCGGGTACTTTTCACACAAGCTGCCTCTTCAAATATACTTAAGTGTGCAAGTGCACTCTTTCAAGTATAAAATGACTGTAACTGTCATTATCAAGAGTATTAATTACGACACAGTTCAACAATTATTGAGAAGTGACAGAAGTAAATACTGCTCATTGTATACATCGTTAAAAATAACACTGCCATTTAATTCAAAGAAATTACGTTAATAATGCTCAAAACTTAGTAATACATTACCTTTTGCATGCACATGTCAGCTATTATGGACAGAGGTATTGTAAGGCTTAGCGCAAGTGTGCCTATCAGTGATGAGGTAAGAAAGCAGCCCCTAAAAGATAAAAAAAGATTATAATAAATAATAAAGAGGTCTTATCTAAAAGTTAAAAGAGAACTAAAGTAATATATCAAACTGCAGAAAACATTTGATCAAGCTTAACTGTTAGGCATCATTGGGTTTAGTAATAAAAAACCTGAGATATCCACACTCTATCATAAATCTGTAAAACTTCATAAAGTTCTTAACTAGACTATTGACACCTTCTAGAGTGAAGTTGAATTTCCATCAAACCTTTTAAGATGATGGAAAATTCACTACTTCCCATGTAGAGACTCTGCAAATGGAAACAAATCTGCATTTTGTTTCCATTTTGAAACAGTTTAATACCCGCTTATAGCAATTAAATCTGTTTTGCCCCAGTCTGGTTAATTAAAAAAGAAAGATTACTGATATCCAGAAATCCTACCCAAAACCAGAAGTATTTTTTACAAATAGACAAATTCTTGAATTAGCAGACCCTGTTTTTTAAATTTCACTCTAAAATACACCCTTGAAATCATACCTCGGAGTCTCAGTAAGAGTTCTCCGCATTCTACAAGTGGTCTCATCAAATTTCCTAAGCATGAACAAGGTCATTAGACTTCTCTAAATCACTGAGTCTCAAACCCAATTTATTTAAGTGACAGAACAACAAAACTACATGCATATGTCAGAGCAGTACTCATTAACAGCCACAGAAAACTAAACCTTTTCCCCAAATGTCTCTGCAAGTCATATTTAGTTTGCAAATGAATGAAGTTTAAACAAAGAAGGAAAAAAAAAAAAAAAAGAACAAGAAAAAACAACAGAAAAGCCCAGAGAACTTCAAAGTATATGTATGACAGACGTAAGAAAACACGTGAGCCCCTGAGATCTTTGCCATTTCAACGATATAAACCTAAGGCTCTATAAATAAAACTTTATGAGCCTGAGCTATTTTGATATCAAGTAAAGAGCATAACATCCAATAAAAAACTGCAGTTCCCATTTTATGATCAACCAAGTCAAAAGTTACCAAGCATAGTGAGGCTTGTTAGCAAATACTCATCTAGAAAGAACCTGTTCTAACATATGAAGAAAATAAATACAAGGGGGTCTCTACCCATTTCAAATCAGGAATGCCCAAGTACTGAGTCAGCCTATTATTTCAAAGGCATCTAGAATTTATTTACTTATTAAGTTAAAGGCAATTATTCTCATCCTTAGCAAGTCCTGAACACAGTACCAGCTATGCTTTTTTGTGGAACTGAAATCAGTTCTGCACACAACTAATTTTAAAGATGGAAAAACCTGTAGTCACAATTTTTGTTAGAATTCTGAAGTTTGTTTTTTACCTACTCAATCTTTATTCTGGTTACTGTAAAAATTAAACGGATGCAGTAGAACAGAATCTGCATTCGTGAAATAAGATTCACTGAAGAAAATGATATTTCAATTGACCTCACAGAAGTTTGTTAACACCTTTTAAACACAAAGATTTGAACACGCATTTGGAAAACATTGTCTAGAACATGATGACTGCATGCATGTATTTCTCTAGTTAAACTACAGGAGTACTCCCAGACAAAGCCATTAGGTGCTCCTATACAACTAACTTTCAGCCAAGCAAAAACAACCAGTTTGGATATTTGTAATCACTTTGCATTGTTCTGCATCTTCAAAATACAAAAAGATACACAGATGAGAAAGGAACAGAAAGAAAAGCATTTTAGATACTTTGCATTTCTGCAAACTTCCTCCCCAGTATTGTAAATTCCCTTCTATACCATAATACCTCTGTATCTCTGCACTGACTACTTCTGACTTAGAACCAACCTGTCCACCAGAACACTGTAAATGAATAAACAATAAAGAATCTAATGAAAACTTACCAGCAGGTTAAAAAAAAAAAAAAAAAAAAAAAAAAAATTATGAGTCACATTTACCACTACATTATTTAGTTGGCAGTATGTGGTTGGGTGAAGTACACAAGTAGGTTAAATTATATAATTTACTTCCAAAGAAAGAGTAGAGGACCATACAAGACAATACAAAGCTCTTGGGACAAGAGCCAAGTTTGAATTTTTGGGGGTTTGTTTGTTTGTTTGTTATTTTACCTATGTTGAAATTGCACTTAACCTTTTTACCAACTCGTACTGAACCACAGTGTAATCTTATAGGATGGCATTAACATCACAAAAATATTCCATCAATAAACAAATTAAATTACAAAAGAACATATGATGCAATGGATTTATAACTAGAACTAGTGTAAAAGCTTGACAATAAACAAAAAATATCATGATTAAATTTCCTCAATAACTTTAAACTACATCTGAAAAAAACCCCAAAACACCAAACCCCAGAAAACAGAAGAAAAAAAAACAAAAACAAAAAAAACCCCACCAAAACAACCCAACAACAGAAAAAAACCCCACCACCCAACCACCCCCCCCAAAAAAAAGTTTTTCATGGAATTCCATCCAGATACCTAGATTTTTTGTTGTACTACTGTCACAGAATTTAGGAGCCTAGGATTACAGACATCTCTGTTCCAGAGTAGCTATCCCATAATGTTTTTTCCAGTCTCTCTACTGGAGTTGAGAGGCCAAATGCCAAGGGTTCTCAGCAAAAGCTCATGAACTGCCACACCTATGCAAAATGTACTGAAACCAGCAACTTCCACTGAGCAACTATATGGCATTGGCAGCCTGTCTCTTTCTGGAAACTCTTCCTCAGTGTTTCCAGGAAAACCAGGACTTTTCAACTTGTAAAATTTTCTGTTATACCCCTATTTTAATCTAATGCTGGCCCAGAAGAGACTCAGACCTCCTGAATTCTCTCAAACTGGGAACCTTGACTTACCAAACAGTTCCCTAATAATATTGTCCTTCTAACAGCTACACCAAGATTTAAATCTGCTCCAGCTTTTGAGCCATTCATCTAGAAGTCTCACGTTCAAGCCTCTGTTGCTGACCTATCCAGACTATCATATAACTAAATTACTAAACAAAAGCTAGGCTAATATATGTACTGTCATATCTTCATGATTAATGTATTCTGATGAGATTTAGCTCATTAAGTCTTTGAAGATTTGAACAAATATATCAACTATAGAATACTGGATTCTGACTCATACATATCCAAGATGCACAACGCCTTGGAAACTGAAGAACTTACAACAGAATTTTTAAAGTTAGCTGTTGCTCTTAAAAAGGACATTGTGACATGATGGATGATGTCCTCTAACTCAAACTGCATATAAGGACAGAAATTAAAAAAAAAAAAAAAAAGGGAAAAAAACCTACCTAGACAATTTGACTCCTCAACATTTGAGAACACAACACAATTTATGTGAAATATATACAAAGCATGTAGTACATACCACAGCCAGAGGAACTCTGACAGAACTGTTCCGATAAGGCCATTAATAACAATGCACATCCATATCAGTTTATTGGGAAACTCAAATGCTTCAAACCCCGTATAGTGAAGCAGGAAAAACCCTGGCCACAGCAGCAACAGATTAAACAGCCCTACAAAACCTGAGTATAAAAACAGTATTAAAAAGTTAATCATAATAAATATCCTTCAGCATAACTAAAATCTCAGCTATTTTGACAACTTGCATATATAAAAGCAGCAACAAAGCAGCATTTTAAATCTTTTGGAGGAAAGGAATATAAAAAACTTTACATGAAAGTCACAAACAACAATCACATCAGATACTTACAGATTTGAAATTGAGGAAAAAAAAAAAAATTTCCAATGAGTCAAAGGGACCGTCTGCATTCCTACAGGTAGCGTTATCGTTCATTGTTAAGACTGAACAAGAAACAGTTCACACAACCAGTCTCTAAAGCACTCATAACCACGGGAACAATAGGCTTTCTCTACTTCTTTGGCTTTTCTGAGTCCCTTCATCACTCATGTACAGTTCAGTACCCAAAAGCAAACAATGTAATCACACACTGAATTCAAACTTTTAATAGAGCTATTTTTAGTCTTACCAAAGAACATTGGTATGTCAAGTTTATCTTCTCTATCTACTTTCCTTTTTATCATTACTATGTACACTGCATACAGCATTGCTCCTACAAGAGACCAAAGGGAACCTGTAGAGATGAAAAAAACCACTCACTTAAGACATACCAAACACATTACACACACTGGGATCAACTCTCCTAAACATACACCTATTATAAAACTATCAGACATGAATTGTTTATTACATAAGCCATTACTATATGAAAAGCATTGAAAAATGCAGAAAGCTTAAAAATTTTAATATTTTCCCAATTAAACTATATACACGGGGGGGAAAATATCATCATAAACGTCCAGTTTTGGAACTTGAAACTAAAAATCCAGATTGTGAAGTCTTACACAAGTAAGAAACATATAGCTTGCTACTGAGTGTTATCAAAAGATGGTACTCATCCCTGCATATTCTAGGATTAAAGAAAAAGCAAATACCTATTGTATCTTTTCCAGCAGATTTCTCAGATCCAGAAAGGTTAACAAGTACCACACCACCAATGCTAGCAAAAAAAGAAGAAATACAAAACACTAGTTAAACCCAAGAACTTTTTTTACAAAGACAGAAAAAAAAAAAAAAAAGAATCTTTAGGTATTTTTAGTTAATTAAAACCCACTTTCAGAAAAGCCGAAAGGAGTTATCTATTGCTAAGGCCTGATTCAAAGCTAAAAACAAAGCAAAAAAACCCACTTTTAACTTCCCTTGAACAATGCACTGGACATTTAATGAAACAGGCTGACAACACAGAATGTCAAGCCTTTTTCTTTTTCCCACCTATACAAAAATAAAAACCCCACACTTAAACAAGAATATTTCCAACAGAAATGCAATTAATCTGATTTTCTATAGGAGCATGAAATTCAGTGCTCATGATAGGAAGTATTTAAAAAGACTTAATTCACTTGCTTAATTTATCAGTGAAACAATATTTTTTTTAAAAAGTGAAGCAAATCATATATTGTCACAGATACCATAGATATAGAAGGTATAGCTGTCATCTCACTGAATCAGGGAGTTTATGACCAAATGTTCCATCCCATTTTCTTACCTTAAAATCACAGCTAGTAATTTGGACAGGGTAAACCTATCTCCACTGTTACTAGGAAAGACTGCAGCTAGGATTAAAGTAAAAAGGCCTGCAAGAGAAATTAAGAAGAATTTATAGAATCAAGTTTTGCTACTAGTTTGTCCAGAAAACTGCACAGACATTTTCTTCTTTATATTTCACATATTTTCTTCTTTATATTTCTTTTAACTACTTGATCTTAGCATCCCTAATTTTAATTGGAACTACTATGAAATGAACACCTTATGATGTGAATCCTCAGATGAGCAAACACATGCACAACCTTAAGACAAGCTAGCCATACTAATAAAAGAAACTGCAGTAAGCCTGAAAAGACAGTGAAAAATCACATAATTGTGCTTTTAAAACTGATTTTATGAAACAAGGAAAGTTATTCCTCAAAACACAGACTGTAACATAATTTAAATACTTTAAATCTCATATTGGAGCTTTGTATAAAACCTGCAAAGCAAGCGATATGCATAATATTCGGGTTCTTTACCCCCCCAAATTTTTTTAAAAAACCTAATAATTATCGAGACGACTTTACTTTAAATCGTATCTATTTTGATAAAAAGTTATACCAACTTTCCTTCACATCTATATATCTCTTTAATACACAGAGGTAACCGCAGAAGCACACACACACAAATGTGGAAAGCAAAAAGCAGGAGAATCGCGAAGATAGCCTAAACCCCTGCAATTACATAGCGAAATTTTTACATGCGCATATTCAATGGCTTTAAGTCTTACTACTCCCCCAAACCCACAGGCAAATCATTACATAAGTCCCTTGTAACCAGAAGAGATTTTTATGTTATAAACAGCCCTATAATGCACATCTAGCGGTGTAAATAAAACTTACCAGAGGTTGAAGACAAGATGTTAACTATGGCAACTTGAGTATCTGACAGAGCTTCTTGATAAGAGAAATTTGCTAAGAACCACTAGAGTAAAAGAAAAATAATAATTTTGTCATTATACAGGTAGCAACAACAGAGTTTAAGTTTCACAGTGCAATAAAATCCTACTTAAAGAAAAAAACCACCCAACTATTTATCAAAAAAAAAAAAAATCAAAACAAGACTTTTACCTCAACGAGATTTCTAACTTCTATTGAAGTGGCAGGTACATTAAGACACATGCAAAATTAGAACTATCCCAAACCAACGACACTCAACTAGTGTTTAACAATGAAATAGCGTAATTCAGAAGTTTAAAATATTTAAATAAAGTGACATTGTAACAGCTATTCTGTAGTACCTAAAGGTACTTCTAACTTATTTTGCAAGTGCTTCAAGATAACTGCACAAGGGCTGCAAAGACATTTCAGAGACACATGGGACATTAGTCAGCCTAATGAGTATTTTTAAAAGTACTTAAAATTGGTACATATCTCCTCCCTAAAAAACAAGCATCACTTACATTCAGTACCTCAAAAATATTTTGGAAGGATTAATGTCTGTTAATTCCTCCACAAAGGAATAAAATGGCAAGTATTTTATCATTTCTTGAGACATAATTAATAAGATCTCAGGTATATCTTCAGGGAAGTTACCACTCTCTACAGGCTTAGGTGGAAATATTTATACAGTCTAAGAAGAAATACATATACATTCCAGGAGTAGCAGCATCCATGAATAGCATAAACAGGATTTGTTTTGAACATGAGGACTCTACCCCAGAAAATCTTCATGTGTATATATAAATATACTCAGACACACAGAATTTAAAATTAATTTTTAAAAAGCTATTTCATCCATCTAAAATCACTAATGAGTGATTTATTCTTCTTTCTGCTGTGTGCACGTTCTTTATGTATGCATACAGAAAATTGTATTTTCTGGTACACACATCAAGAATACTAATTTTTTTTTATTATTAAATATTTAAAGAGCACTACTTTCTGGGGAAAAGCTGTGGTGGGTCCACATTACATATAACCTATTCAGCAGTATCAGTGCAACTACTTCTGGAAAAGCTATCATTCATCTGCTCTCTACATTTTTACTGTCTCTCAAATATCATGTCACTGTCGCCTCTCTCTCTCCGCCTAGAACTGAGGCATGATGCAGAAACACCAGCAACCAACAGATTCATAAGTAAATCTTGCAGCCCGCAACAGAATTTAAGGACAATTAACTATCTTCTCATGCTACTGGAGGGCACAATGCCACAGTGAGGCAGAAGATGGCACTCTTCCTGTGATGGCCCAGAAATAAGTCCTAGTGACATTCACCCATTTCATGCAGTCCCACTGCAGCTATTAACAGCCTGTAATCATGTAATCCCAGGTTTTGCTGTACCAAACATACTCATCACTGGACAACATGGCACAAAAGCATGGCATATCTTACAACTGACCTTACAGTTAAACACACACTCAGGATCTCTTTTTATCACCCTCCCTTTAAAAAGTTGCACCTTCATGTCCAGCACATGAGGAAAGTTTTACTTCTTCTAGTATATTTATAAAATGAGGCATAAAGAATACAAGTCATCTCAATACTGTTCCACTATTATTACACAAGTTTTAATTGCATCTATACTTGAGTTTTCTGAAGGAATGGAGCACATACCACAAAGCAAAAGAAAAAGCTAATTTTTGCTACTTGAGTTGCAGTGAGTTTTCCTACAGTTTTTAATATTGATTCTTGCTCCTTAACTGTTGGATATGACATGCGAGACAACTTTGCTTCCAATGCATGGCTCGATGGGAGTTGTCGAATCTCCATAATATTACTGAACCTTACACGAGGCTTTTTGGGAGCTTAAGAAGAAAAGAGAGAAAGAAAAAAAAAAAAGCAAGAAAAGCTGCATATTATCATTAAACTTTTCAAGCCAACACAATACGCAAATAAAACTATGATGTTCTAATACAGCATTAATTACAATGCTTCACAAATAACAGATTTCTATCCAAATAGAAGACATGCTATTATTTTTATTTATTAAACTAGTATTTTTGCTATTTGATAGGCCTTTAAAAAGACAAAGCACAATTACTGCTTTCAATCAGTACAGCTGTCCACCCACAGAAACCTCATTGAAAAGCACCATCCCTCGTCCCTGTCAAAAAGATCCACACAAAGTAACAACAAATTTTTAGGTAGAAATTATTCTGTATTGATAAATATTACATATAAGAGTTTCTTTAATAGTCAAGCAGACAAAAACTGCACACAACGCTACCTAATGAAAGGACAGTGTTTCACTCAAGAGGATGAGTGTCCAACAGACCTCAGAGCTTAGTAGAGATCATAAGGTCACTTGCTCATTTGAAATCCACCCTCTAACTAATCTTTCAAACCAGGAACAGATTTTATTTATAAGGGTATTGTAGTGTATCATTAGTTTCCTGTGTAAAGAAAACATTACACTCTACATATAAATATTAGCCTAATTCAATATGAAACAATACCTAATTTCCTAAAAAAGGTAAAGGGAAAAGCTACAGCTCAAACAACACTGAAGTGATTGCTGCATGTTATTACAGGACAGCAGAGCCTACCAAAGTGGTTCTTAACATGCCTCATCTAGAAATTAACAAAGAGACTTTCCCTTTTATAAGCAGGGACTCTTTTGCTGAGGATCAGGTAGTTGGATTCTTTGACAGCCAACTTTTCTATGACTGTCTGGGACAGTTAGGCCTGTTTCAGCTACTATCACAAGATAGTGAGGCTTAAATAAAATCAGAATGCACATAGACTGTTAAAATTCTTACTTTGACTGCTTTGCTCCTGCTCTAAAAAGGACAATAGCTTGTTTTTTCCAGAGGCTGACTCACTGCTGCTGGTCATACAAGCCCAGAAGGAAAGAATCACAAGTACTGAACCCAGCCGGTCCCTTGAGATAAACATAGGCTGGATCTGTAGTGACCAAGAAAGGTAAACTGAACGATAGGCCTATGTTTTCTCTACCTGAAAGTAAACATATAAGACTGCAATTCATGCAATAAGCGATTTAAGAAAGGAGGGAAAAAACAAAGGAAAAAAAAAAAAGAAGAGAAAAAAGAAAAGGCAAGTCCTGCAACATGACAGCAGTTATACCAACAGAGGAAAGTAACTCCTTCACCAAATAACTAGCATTTCAGCATTCCAAAAGTCTTTACTCACTTTTCTCTGCATCACTATTATTACTGCCATTTTTGTCAGCTGGCAAATCATGAAACTTTACAGGAACATATAAAGGTTCACTCTGAAATGAATCAGTATAAGTAAAGAGACGTTACGCAGGATATTTAAATTATTATCAGTAGAATTAATTTAACTAACAGAAAACTAAATAAAGAAAAGCTTGGTGAATATTAAGAGAACCAAATTTAACAAAGTGGCTTTGGACACAGTGGACAGGCTTGTCAAAAACATTCATATGGAAGCTATATTTTAAGTGTATTGGTAAAATGCAAGACTAGAAAATAACTCTGTGCTTTTCTGTATATCGTCATGAACACAAAAAACTCATTCACAGAAAATTCAAACCTACTGATTTAAAATTTTAAAATAACTCATCAAAATCACAGACATTTCATTAGATCTATAGCTTCTGTCCAAATGATAAAACAGAAACATAAAATATGGAATATATACAAAAATTAATACATGCTCATTGTCCTCCCATGACCCTAAGCTTATGAACTAGAACTAAGTCAAAAAACTCTGGGAAAGGAACTCCAATACATAAGACACTTAGCAGAAGTTTTTATTGCTTAGAATAGTTCTAATAAGAAAAGTTTTAAGCTGCCTAAACAAATTAAGTTAATAAAATGTAAGAGCAAAGTAATGAAAAAGATCTGGTATCTGCATTTTCATTAGGCTCCTCGTTTAGGACCAGAATTTTTGTGGATGTTTAAAATGAATGCAAAATTGTCCAAGGTTAACAATGAATCCCACTTCTAGAGTCTGATGATCTTAACTAATTGAGCAGACTAAGAAGATTTTATTCTTAAATGTAGATAAATTGGAAATAAACAAATAATGAAATAAAGAATAGTTCTGAAAAATCTCTCTTCAACTCCCTATTTAGTATCAAATGCCCACTGGTCAACACTCAATTACCTCCCCTACTCTACTACAGAGATGGTGCAAACTTTAAAGGTTCTGTGTTTTGGATACATTTTTGCATGCGGCCTCTGATTCAGGTACACAGATTAAGCAGCAAACTGTGATCAACAGGGGCATAAAAAACCTGTCATTTATGGATGATGAAAATCACCACAAAAATGCCATCTGGCAATGCAGCTGATCTGCAGAATACCAGTACCGACATTTGAGTCAGTAAGCAGTAGTCACACTGTGCACTGGAAGGAAGAAGGCAGTCCATTTCTCTTTCAAAATGCAATGCAAGATCACAGTATACAAGACGCTCAACAAACTGAATGATTTCATTGTGAATTTTAGTTTTGTAAACTGTTTGGCTTTACCACTAGCTCTCCACATTTTGCTTTGACAGTTATTGAGCTGAGTATGTGAAGGTTCCCTTTGTATGACAAATACTTCTTTCACAGACTACTACAGAAACATTCAAGTTAAGTGTTTTATTGAACTGATAACCTGTATTTCTCACAATAAGCAATTATTTGCAGCATTTATAAGTAACTGCATTATTTGCAGCACTTAACATGCAAGTTACTAATCCCTTTTGTCAAAAACTATTACCTTTAAGACCACCATATTTTAAAAACTGTATGTCACAATAATGGTGTCATGTTACTGTAAAGCATTGAACTTCAGAAATTAAGGCACTTACCAGAGAACTGTTTACACTGTTATCTGTTGCACAAGCAGCAAAATAACCTTCAGCATCTGCAAACTAATTAAATGAAATTAGTAATCTACCAGAGTTATCAATAACTGAAATTTTTAAAGTTTTTTAATGAATCTTTCTATGACAGCTCACTCTCTCCCTCTAGCCCATCTCCCCAGTAAACAAGAGGGCTTACAAGTTCAGTAAATAGTTTCAGCAATTTCTTGTACCTCTTGGAGAACCCTGTTGAATTCAACTACCCAGATATCGATGCAGGATCAGGCTGTTAGAATGCCAAAACCCATAAAGCTCAGTCTTAGCAAGACATGTTTCACTGAATTATCGTGCATTTATTAACAACAAGCCTCTTGTTTCTTCATTTTATTGAGGAAAAGTTCCTTTGCATAAAAACCTGATAACTCTGCCTTAGTTTTAATAAGTTTTAAATTAGGATGAGGTCAAATATAATTTTCCCTCTTCCTTTCTGCACCTTAGCAAGCACTACTACCCCTGTTTCCTGACTTGCAGCTTTCTGTTCTACCATTCTGGTTAAGGCTCCAATGTGGAAGAGGACTTAGAAGTAAGGTATGAGTGTTTACCTAAGCAATCATTATTGAAATAAAACTCTATAAATGTATAATTTTTGTTCCAGATTAATAAACACAAGACATTTTAAAGGCACTTGTAATAATTATACAGATGAATATTTAACTAAACGCCTTAGGTGAAAATAAATCAATCTTGTAACTGCACACTACAGTCCTGTTTTTGCAGTGTTCTTTTGAAATAGCCATTACTTTTGCTGTTGGCATATTTCCTACAAATTATTTTAAAAATTAATTTTTATAGGATTAGATGTAAAAATAATGAGATTCCAGTAGTGATGCTATGAGTGCCACACACAAAATGCAATAGATTGAGCACTATTACTCATTGCTGTCCAGTTCATATGAGTTCATACTATCTCTTGCTTGACATAGCACTGCATGAGTTTGTCAATATAACCACTGCCATTCACACTAGGCAAGAGTCCCTTATTCTACTCATCTGCTCAGATTAATAAATTTTGGTCAGTAGAATTGCTCTGTACAACTAATCATCTTTAGCACCTTCATCATTCTTATTTGTCATAACTGCAAAGCATTACTGTATCTGTAAATTATTTCCAGATTATCTTAAGACCCTGAACAGCATCAAGTCTAATACGTGCCACACTATGCACAGACACTTGGTATTAAAGTCTGATCTAGCAAAAATTATTTCAAGGTATCAGCCAATTCTATATGTTCTATGTGTTTAACACAAGATTTTAATTTTATTTTATTTTTTTTAAAACAAAAAAGGTTTCATTTTTGGGGTTTAGTTTTTTTGTGGTGGTCTGTTTTTTTAAAATAAATTTAGCTTAATGTCATGTAACATTTCATTTTAAGTATGCTACACCTACAACTATCACTATCAGTGAAGTCTAATGTATCCAAAAGAACTGAAGTCAGTTCCTTTCATACAAGCTATTTTCTATAAAGACATGTTGATTAACAGCATGTTCTTGGATCACATTTTCTGTTATTTTAATGTGAGATTAATATCAGACCAAATGCCTTACTGCTTCCTGAGTCCTGCTGTTCGGCATTCTGAAACACTGGCACAGAACAGCGTTCTTCCCAGCATCTCTTAATTTCCTTGGAAAAAAGTATGTATTTCTCTAACACGACAATAATTTTAGGCTCTAGCATAAACTATGCCTAGTTCTAGGCAAAAGAAGGTCAGTTGTGCATAAAGGTTATAAAAACACAGAATTAGCAACAACAAAAACATAATTCTACCATCTTTTCTAAATATAACTTTAAAAACCTCAAAACCTCTTAGCAAACAGTTCATAGTTCTGTCAGAGACAAAAAGAGTCAGTAATAAAAATCAATTACAAAGTTCAAATACCGATTCCATGAGTTACAGATGCTGGGGAAATAAAAGGGAACCACCAGCCAACAGTGGTGAGGCCGATAAGCTCTTCTTAAAAAGAATTATCCTCTGCAGCTGTCCAACATAAAATCCCAGGCTAGATGGGCAATGGCCTGGCCCAGGAGAGCATTTCTTATGATTCCTGACACAGTCATATTGCCTTTTCCTTTCTTTTCTTCCTCTCACGACTACTATTATGATGCTGTGTCTTCCTGTGCTGTGATTCAGTTTATAACAGCTTTTCTGAAAGCACTATTTCACAAATATGTAAACTTCGCTTTTCTTGAGTCCCTGTTTTAAGTTTTTTCTGTACAAATTTCAACAAATATCAAAACATTTAGAGTTAAAATACTTACAAAAGCTGCATGCCTTCCACGAAACCCACGGGTACACTGTTGCCTCCATGGTTTCCAAACAATAAATCCCAAGAGGTATAGAACAAACATGGACGTTTTTGCAAATGTACTGAAAAAAGGTTTGTTGTACTTTGTGAAAACATACTGTGGAAAGAAAATAATTGTGGAAAGAAAATAATTGTAGTATCCAAAATTACCAACGAGGTGAGAATTCACAAAATGATGAACAGGTTTAAGTATATAGTCCAGAACAGTCTGGTTCTCAAAATGACAGTGCTGCGAGTATCGACACGTATGACCAAAAGACACAAGTGGCCCTACCTATTCTGGGGATACCCTCTCCCAAGCTATGTTAAATGCCAACAAGAAGGCACTGAGCCATTTTGTAAGATAAAATGCCACGAGACAAAAGCTACTTAATACTTGTATCTAACCAAGCAACGTACTGATATGACATCGAACTCAAATTGGACTGAAAATACATTTACATACAAATGGTCTAAAGACCACTTTATAATATAAGCAATAGCATAGTAACCCCAAATTAGAGATTACTTTCATTAATATTTCAGTATCAAGTGATTCCATCAGCTCACTGGAAAAAAAAATTTTTATTAATACCATGTTAAGCACATTTTTATATGCTTAGTTTCAAAACTTATATAGAACATAATGACAATTCAAGAAACCTGAATTTGACAAGAATTTATTAAAAACTCACTTTCCATTGTTAAAGCTCTGTTTTAAGTACTAAAACTTCACATGAAGTAAATACCAGATCAGTCTCAAGATGGTGAATATATGAACTAGGTTATGGCAAACTTGTGTGCAATTATAGGGTTTAAAAACCATGACCCGAGCCCTTTGGTCCTAGACTTCTAGATGTCCTGAACTATAATCTACCACACCACCTAGTCTGCAATGTTAACAGCTCGTTTACTGCTTCTCGGGAAACATGGGCATTATTTTAATCAATATGACAATAAACAAAATGAACTCCCTAATTACAGAATATATTTGAGTTTACGTTGTTTAAAGTCATCAGTAACACCTTCTGTCTTGAAAGCAACAGTTACCGAGTTGAGCCTGTTTGTAACTTTTAGTGGACACAGGTTAGTTCACTAAGGCAAAGGATATAGTCTTCCCCATACTGAAAAGGTGGTTAAACACTACACTAGAACACCCATTGAGCGTTTGAGTGACCATGTCTCTGCTGCATATTCTCTTAAATAGGCTTTTATTTTCCTTTTAAGATGCATGAAACAATACTTACAGAAGTGAGTTCTGAAGAGGCAACCCATATCACATCAACGAGGAGAAGAATAACAATTCCTAGAGCCATTCGCCTGCGCTGAGTGGATGAACTGCTCTGGGAGCTCATTCGATTCATGATAAAAACCCACACCATTTGTAACCTATTCAAGATTGATAAAGGAATAAAATCCAGAAGATTACAAAACAAACAGTGGGGGCAAGTGTTTCACATATATGAAATGGACACAATATGCAAGGAAACACATGCTTCTGTTTGGTAAAAAGAAAATCTTTGCAAGATCTGGCATGAGATTTTCAGAGACATTAGGGGCAACTAGAAAGTAAATCTCAACTTTTCAAGAATTTATCAATACTGTTCTACCACTGAAGTAACCAAAAGTAGGTAAAACATACAATGCCTTTTTGGAATTTTCTACGCTATGGATTCTGCAAAATCTGAAACCACTACATTTGGGTAAATTCAGATACTCTAAGGTAACAGCAAAAATTAGTTTGATGTGTTGTCAAATACAATTCTACTACAAGTAGTCAGAAACTTGTTTAAACTTAAGCATTCAACAAACATTTCCAAAGACACAGCAACATATCTGGGTAAATTCTGATCCCTCAAAGCATAGTGATTAAAGGAAAAAAACCCCACAACTTAACTGTAAGCTTACCAAGTTAGATTACACATGCACTTGAACTAAAAAAATTTATACATTTGCTAATTTATGAAATACAGGCATGCACCATTTCTAGTGAAAACCTATCAAACTAAGGGTAAGCATACAATATGTGCAACAAAGCTCTGCCTATTTTAAAAAAACTCAGAACACTGATAATGATTTTGATTGTGTCCTGGTTTGTTACACACAGGAATAAACAATTAAGAACACTTCATACCCCAATAAACCAAAACCTCAGCAGTGAACTATCTTCAAGCTTGTCATGTAGTACAGAAGTCATGTAGACTTGTCTGAAATTACAGCATAAATAGGTTTGGATTTTGACACACACAAACCTATCTTTCTTTTCGCTAGACACACCTTACAGCTCCTAGAAGTCTTTGTTCAAGGTAGTAACTGAACAGTATCAATTTAAGCTATTCTAGTAACATCAGAAAAGCACAGCTGTGTTTAAATGCACATAGTCAACTGCTTTTACATACTGAAAGAGTAATAATATACCACTGAACAGAAAATTCTGAAGATATGGCTTGAGCCACAAAAATTCATATTAGGAAGAAGACTTATATGCAGTTAAAACATTAACATTTATGCAGGAGATAAGCACTACAGCAGTGTGTAAACAGATCATGACCAACCTTCTTTTTCCTTCAGTAGGGAGAGTACTTCTGCTTTATTCAATGCACAGAGTAAACACAAGAGAACAGAACTGATTCTATTTGGGTTGGCCAAAAAAGTGGTACACAGTGACTTTAGAAGGCTTGACTTTGCACAGCTTTCAGTAAAAGTAAGTAATAACATTACTGAAAACAGTAAAGTTAAGAGATCACTAAAATACTTTCCAAAAAAAATAAGGCAAGGCAAACAAGCTTTAAAATATGCTGTTTGCTTTAACTCAAAAAAATTACAAGATCCACTGCACCTACTTCATGCAAGTGCTAATCATGAGCATACCAGACCTACGTGTGCTCTTATATCCACTAATGCTGCTAGAAGGGGATTCAGATTTGTGATACAGCTCTATGACTGCCCATTAGAAGACCTAAATTTAGGAAAACCTTCAATTTTATGATTAATAAACTTCAAATACAAGTGACAGAGATTAACATCTGATTTATTGGTCCACTTGAATCTTTTACATACTCTAATGAATCTCAGTAAGATATGGATATGGTAGTTCTATGATTAACTTGCTAATGTATATAGTTTAAGAACTGATTTATTAGGAGTTAATTTCCTACAGATTACATAACATATCTTGCTATTTATCACCATAAACTCAAACACTCACACTCTTTTGAAAGAGCTCCTCAAGAAGCTGAAATGTAATTCACCTTTATGGAACAACTCCTGACTCTCCCAGTAAATAGAGATGATCTACTTTGCTAATATAGTTTGGTGAATTTAAATTACACTGTTTTTTTCCACGCGTATCAACATACAAACACTTACTGCCTTTTCATTGTTTACGAATTATTTATGAAGGAGATAGTGCCACAATGTCTTCAGTGAGGAAGCTACATTTCTTTTTTCCAGACTAGCCCACTTCTCAGATTAATGATTTAAATGCCTGGATATGCACAAGTGCATTTGAGATCACTACACTGTTTCTTGCCTTTGACTCATACCTCACCCTTGCAATACAGCCTCTGCCATGTTCAAATCTTGACACTTTTTCCTCCATTTCTCAAAGGGCCTCTTTCCAAAGAAAAATCAACAGGCAGAGTACCCCAAGTATAATTATACCACTAGAGCTATGCTCATATATTCCATGTGTGGGCATGAGTTCTGGATAATTGTTCTGCTTTTCTGATAAAATGGTAGGATTGACAAAAGAAAACAGGAGTCTGTAAGTAGAGAGGGCAAAGTCATGAAAGGCTCAGCAAGGAACTGGAGTTTTTATTTGAAACAGAATAAAGGAGAAAACATTTGTTCTCAAGGAGAGAATAAATAGGGATATTATCTTAAAACTTGAGTAAGCTAACAGAAAGGTTTTCACACTTGAAAGCTTATAAGGGTTTTTTCAGTTATTATGAATTGGTCTAATAGATACTAAATATTATACTCCATGACCTGCCTTCATTTTAATATGAATAAGATGGCTTGTAGGCTATTAGTAAGTTACATTACTGTACTGGGTCTGGCTGAGCCAGAATTGGTTTTCCCCTATAGCAGCCCTCATGGTGCTGTGTTTTATGCTGGGAGCTAGCAGGATGTTGGTAGCACCCTGGTGTTGTGGCTACTGCTGAGAAGTGCTTACACAGCACCAAGGCTCTTTCCAACATTTTCCTCCCCCTAGTGGGACGGGGTGGGCAAGATCTTGGGAGGGGACACAACCAAGACACTGACCCGAACTGACCAAAGGGATACTCCATACCACATGACATCTGCTCAAGTATAAAGCTGTGAGAAAGGAGGAAGAGGGTGGGGTCACCCTTGGTCCTCTGAGGCAGCCACTACATGTATCAGAGCACCGCTCCCTGAGAAGGCCCGACATTGCCTCTTTCTGGGAAGTAGAGAATAAATCTGGGGTTTTTTTTGCTTCCACGCGTGGACCTTTGCTTTACTTTGCTTATATTAAAACTGCTTTTGTTTTACCCACAAGGGTTGTTTTGTTTTGTTTTTCTTATTTTCTTTCCCCTCTTTGCCCTGTTGAGAAAAAAGGGGGAAGGGGGGGGAAAGTGATAGAGAAACTTGGTGGGTACCTGGCATTTAGCCAAGGTCAAACCACCTCAATTACATACAGCCTACAAATTGGTCATGTGTGTACATAATACACAGCAAAATAGAAGCTGGGCATAAAAGAGTTCCAAATGAGCTAGAAGGAAGAAATCTCATTCCTTGTCAGGCTACAGTGTGACACATGAACAGCTGTAAGGTATACCAGAAACGGAAACCACTCCAGCCTTCCACCAGTTACGTGCTGCAGGTAGGAGGGGGACAGGCAGCTGGAGACAGGAAAGAATCGCAGTAGCCTGATCAATTTGACACCTCTACATTAGATGCTCGCATCCCAAGCTCTTGTGTTCTCACCACAAACTGATTCAAAGCACATAGCATGTATACACTGTGCCAGGAGATCATGCACAAATATTGTTTACAGTCTGTAGTTCCTTAATATTGTACTCAACTTGTCTACATTAGACTTGTACAAATCCCTTGCTTTAAGATACCTCAGCAGGAAGGAAGTAAAGGATAATAGAATACCTAGTACTTCTTTGATAAGAGGTTACATATGAAATTATTCAGACTGTAAGTACATATTGCACCACTTCTTTTCTACCTATGATAAGTAGGTTTTAAAATTCTAGTTAAAGGGCCCATACTTATAACTTGAAGTTTTTTATATGTTACAGTAATAGTAGCTATTACTTTCCCATTTGACTACAAAGTGTCTGTTTAACATTTCTGCCTGCTTAATATAGCCCTTTCTCGGTTTTTCCATAACAGGGAAAAAAGCTTAACACGAAAGGGCAACTGTAAAGTCTTGACTGCAGTCTTCATGCTGCATGATGCACCTTCAGGGCAGTAGTTCACTAAAAAAATTACAAAGCAGCAACACTAAAATGCCTATAACATTCAGTGGAAAAACAGAACCCTACTGAAACTTATATATGAAGTTTTAGGACAGAATGAAAACCTGTAAAACTTTACACAGAATGCGAAGACAGATAGAAGCTGCTATTTTGAAGTTTTAGACAAACACATTATCCCACTTATTCACAAAGTATCAGTATTCATGAACTTGTAACGAAATACAATTCCACACATTTCTTTGTATGACTTCTGTACATTGATGGCAATATGCTCTGATAAAAATGAACACAGAAAGAATGAGATTTACTTTTCTCATACATACCTTCCACAATAACTGTAAAAAAACAAACAAAAAACGCTAACAAACTTCACACATCATGTCAAAGTGAAGATAGTCTCCTAAAAAGAAGAAGAAAAAAAAGTGTGTTTGTGTATATTATGCACTTATGTTTGAAAAACATTTTCTAAAATTTCAAGTTCCACAAGTGTCTGCTGCAGCCCAAGTCCTAAATGTTGGGGACACACAGATACAAAACCTTAAGAATCAGTCCACATCAAAAATGCTAGCAGGACAGCACTGAATTGCAAGAGAACAGGATCATTTACTATTTTTGATATTTCAAAGAACACGATCCCTTCCTTATTCACTGAATAGAGAGGTTCACATGAGAAAGAAGAACCTGACAATGTTAAGTTCTAATTTTTTAAGCTAAGCAGAGAAAGGCCCTATTTCTTAAGCCTAAGCAACCAATTTAAACAGAATTAGGAAGGCAGCAGAAGAGCATAATCTTAAAATCATCTAGAAAGGTAACCCATCTCCACAATATTTCTTGTGGAAGCCCTGTATCTTTCCTTAAATTGGTACAGTATTATTACTCTATCAGAAAAAAAAAAAAACAACAACCTTACAGAAAACTTCAATTTTAAACAATAAAATCAGCTTTAAAATCTTATCTAGGGAAAAAAAAAAACAAACCAAAACCCAAACAACACAACCCTTTTACACAAGGGGATTTTGGAAAAAATGTTATACTAAATCAATTGGAAGCCCATCTAATCTGCAACTATTTGCAAATCCAGATGTTGGCAAGTATACGTCGCTCCAAGAGAAGGCACAACAAAACTGGCAACTGACAACCAAGAATAATAACGGTGTAAATTTTATTGCCTGGAAGTGCTGCAATTTTTTTATTTTCTTAGTCATGTGAAACCTTGCAAAGCTCTGTTTTAAGGATAATCTGTATCAACAGGAGTCATACCCTGTGTTAATGAGTCACAAATCAGTGCACATAACAGCAGTAAGGGCAAAACTAAATGCCTACCCTAAATTTTGCCAGTGATTACCTATCAAGTAAGGCTGAAAGTTCATAAACTGCAAATTGGTGGCAAAAGTTAAACCAATGCTTTTCACCTATTGCAAATTAGATTAAGAGCAAGGCTATAAAGGAGGGACCACACAAGGCTATGATTCAGATCCCGCTGAACTCATCAAGATTTACACACTGCTTAGCACCCATCAAGTTTAAGCCCTTTACCACACAGTTTACGAAAGGACTATAGCCGGTTAAAAAAAAAAAAAAAAAAAGTAGTTTTAGGACACAGGCATGTGGTTAAAAAAAAAACCTATGCTCACTGCAGATCCTGAACACCTATTTAGATGAGTGCCCTCACATACAAATGGTAGTTGCTGGTCATTTTTCTTACAGTACCAACCTGATTAGATATTATGATCAGTACCTCTGATAACCAAGACTTAAACCAGAAGACTTTTATCCATAGAAAGCTCAAACAGTTTGTGCACACCTAATGTACCCAAAACAATAACAAAAACAGGAAGCAAAAAAGATGCTTAAAAATTCTTCCCTCCATCCACACTAAACCAAGTATTACTAAGATACTATTAAGTAGTTTACTTTCAGCCCCTACTTAATCCATATTACCTATACTCAAGTAACCAGGTGCAGAACTTGCACCCAAATTCAGTCCTTATGCAAGACATAGAGCTTGCCCTCTATCAGCATGCCAGATCTGCTGTGGGGTGTAGTCCTGACTGGAGCTGATCACACAGACCCCTGTTCAATGCTTATTAACAATAATTAACCCATTTCAGGATAAAAGTAACATCTAACACCTAAAATGAGAACTGTACAAGACACTTCTCTCTAAGAACATGGCTTTACCCTTACAAAACATTTAATTCAAGTGCACAGAGTTATGATAAATTTAAGCCACCAGAAGACATATAGGCTGAAATAGAAATTATGGTTTAAAAGTAAATACCATATTCTACTCTATTAAATACAGTAGAAGCTTCAGCATATGTTTCCCTTTTGTTTCCATTATTATGAAATAAATATGCTTTCCACATGGTGTAACTTTAAATATACCAGTTGAGATCTAATATTTGAAGGAATATTCATTTAAAAGGCATATCTTAACAGCATTATAATTTTCAGCAAATAGCATGGAGATCTTTTTAAGTCTTTTCTTAATTTTATTTACCATTTTAACAGTGTTAGAGCTGGTGCTGTCATCTTGAGGAACCATTTTTCAGCCAGTTACATTAAGATCTTCTGAAAAAAAATACAAAAAATACTTAACTTTCCTTGTTCCAGTATCCTAGATCATTTAAGCTGAGTCAGCACTTAAAATTATGACACAGGAAAAAGACAAATAAGGTCTCACTATGTAGTCTACAATGTATATTCATGTAGCTGATCACACTAAAGCCAATAGCCTCAACAGCCTGTCCAGCTCTACTGTTCTGAACATGCAATAATTAATGATTTCTGAGGACAGAATGTATAACTCCACCATGGATACTTAATATGCAATCTTTATCTATAGCACTTCTTCATGAAGATTATCAATTTTTTCATATTAAAAGTTCCACCCTAAAAGAGAAAATCAAATGAAGTTCACGAAATATGAAATAGCTTTTATTGTATTGTCAGAGAAGTAAAAGAACTGCCAAATCACTGCAAAACAGGAGTATTGCTTCTAGCTGTTCTATGAAGAAAACACACCCCCAAAAAAAGTGCATAATAACAAGAGAACCTGAACAGCAGCTCAAGTCACAAACCAGAAGCAAGTCAACCTGAAATTCTTCCTTCTATTTACTCAAGATTATTTCATACACAATTTGAAAAACAACATACCAAGATAAGGTTTGTGCACAGAAGAAATTGTTTTAGTTTTTCCAGTTATACCAGCTGCTCCAATAATACAAGTTCTGGGATACCACCCGCCCACCCTGTTTAACACGTACTGTCATCAGGTGATTCTCGTTTCTTTTTTTATTACTTTTGAGATAAGATAAACAGAAACATTGCTTTGATTCTAACCAAAAAAACCCTGAAAGTAAACCAATAGACATTTTACATTCATCCTTTTAAATCTGGAAATGTACATTGAAGCAATCTTAGTTTAACACAACTCTGACCTCCACTCAACTTCAAAGGGGTATCACGGGATGACAGCAAAAGCCAGAATCTTCAGAAGAGATGGAAAGGTGAGCCTTATGCAACATGACAATTACCGTCACTACAGCCCTGTAATCTTTACTCAAAGTAAAGTTTCACATAGAATCTGCAGAACACAGTGAAACAAACGACCCAAATAAAGAAACTGAAGCCACGTGTTTCATGCCAGTACCAAGTACTGCAAGTAGAGATCACTCTTCCTGGCTAAATAAAAAGTTATACAGAACCCAAGTTTGCACAGAGAGCACATTAATTTTAATACTAAAATAAGAGAATTTAGCTTAATTAATTTTAATACTAAAATAAGAGAATTTAGCTTAACAAAGACACGTTTTAGGAATCTGGCAGTACACTATGTAACAGTCACACTATCAAACTGACATGGAACAGCTGGATCCTGGTATCTAAGGAATAAAAGAACACTTGAAATAAGTCTCCTATTCAGCACTTACTCAAAATTAATGAAACAAAGTTTCAAACAAAGTTTCTTACACAGAAGTAGTAATGCAGAATATTAATCTACTGCATACTTTGGATTCTTTACCAGCTACCAGAGTATCTAACCACATACTCCTCAGGTTCATTCATACAGCATCCCAGCATGGCTACAACCCTGTTAGACGTGAGTATCTATGATCACGATGAGTTAGAAACACACTAGTTTCAGGTTAGCAGAGTGAAAGTTGACAAGTGGAACTGCCATTACTCTCCTTCTTTTGCTCTTCCAAAAACATGAGAAGAAAAAAGTTCACGTCAAGCTGCCAAGGCCTCTGTAGGTGTTACCATGTACAAAGCAATCTCTCAGCCACCAGTAGCTATACATGTAATATTAGCTAAGAATTACAAGTGACATCCATTTCACATGCTACCCATCTAATCTTGTCTAGTGCAAGATCTAAACATATCATGCTTTGTCACTGGATAAACAGCCACAGATCTCCGATAAGAACAGGCACAGCAACCTTTGAAACTACAGTCACTCTTAAATCTGAAAGCTGAGCCTTCCAGGCATGCTAGAAATGGGCAAAAATCGCCGCATTGAGAAACGGGCTTTCAGAGTGAATGGGTCTTCTTCCTTCCTTCCTTCCTGTCGACAGATATTTTGGGGGGAAAATAGAAGGAACAAAGAAGAAAAGGAAATGAGTAAATCTCCTTAACACACTCAGAGAAAAGTGGGATGCCTGAGGAGAAAGAAATATGGCTCAAGCCCTGGGGATCACAAGGAAGGAAGGATGAGTATCCGTCCTGCACTCGCACGTAAAACAAACACTGGAGAGCGCAGGGGGAAAGAGAGGCGCAGCCCAAGCAGGGGGAAGCAGGAAACTCCTCGCACCTCAGGCGAGGCAGGACAGAGAGCTCGTCACCTGCCAGCTCGCTCCCGGGAAAGCGCAGTCCCGCCACCCCACCCCCCCTCCTTCCCCGGGCAGGGCGGGCACCCTCAGCTGACTGAAGCGGGGAGAGGAAAGCGCCTTCTCCAACACCGCTGACACAACCGCGCGTGGGACGGGGCCGAGGTCCGGCAGGCGGAGGGGAAGGGGCGACACACGCCGCCTCCCACCC